AAAACTATCCTCTTAAATCCACTTATTTGTTGCATCTTCTCTGCATTTCTGTTTAAAGATAACGTTTTTCCTGAGTAATCTGATCACAAATGAACAGATCCAAAAGTGTGTGAATGCATCCAGAGCACACCAGTCAGGAGTTTCATGGAGTAAATATTACTATAAATATTACTATATTTTTCTGTTCACCATCTCACAGCCAAGTCTCCCCCATATGAAAGAAAACCAAGGCTTTTACCAGATTCTTGTGTTTGAACAGTTACTTTGGATAAAACCGGTGGGAAAATGCATATGTAAAAAGACATTGCATGAAATGAGGGTCTCCTCAAGAATGATTTGGGTTTATTTAGTTGGGGCAGGTAGTCTATTAACTTGTGTGGCCATTACACAAAAAATACACATATCAGTAATTTAAAAGTATTTTGTTTCTATTTCATGCCATAATTAATTTTAAATAGCAATTTAAGCACAATTTAGAGCAGGAGTACAACTGTTTTGGTTTCTAACAACACCACTGTCAGTAGATTGTTCTTTAAAAGTTGTTGACTAAATATAAAGAGGACAGTTTCTTAAGCCCCTTCCACACAAACCCTTTAAGCTGTGTCCGGGACACAATTGCCCTGCATCAATGTCACGTGTGAAATGGTCCAACTTAGAACATGATGGCTGAAGTTGATTCAGCATTGGCACACCTCTGAGTTAGCAAAGGTGGTAGTCACAGGGCCAAKTTGGTGAGTGGGTGTATCGCCATCCAAAAACACATTGATATAATATTGCATTATGATAAAGCTGGTGATTTAACCCCTTATTTCCAATGTGTAAATACACATGTCTGGTAGGGGTGCAAAAATACATGTATCTGTATCGAACCGTTCAATACAGTGCTTTAGGTTCAATACACACTTGTATCGAACAATACAGATTTTTAACATTTATTTTATCTGCTTGTCTTCTGAAGATGCACTGTGTTGAAGGCTCAGTGGATCTGCGTTCGACTACTCGAGTATCGAATTGAAAATTTTCTGTATTGTTGCACCCCTAATGTATGGGGAGGTTGACCTTGATTGGTTTATGTTTGAATGATCAAGGAAGGAGGCAGCCATATGGCAGAACCACTGTGTGAAAAGGACTTTTCAGTTTCTAGATCAGAGGGAGTTTAACCGTGACAGGTCTATGCGGTTTATCAAAGTGGATTTGTGTAATTCTTTTGCAAAATGTAGTACTTCATAACTGAGATACTGTTTCTTGGAATGTTAACATCTGTGCTTTACTWAAGTGGTCTCTTGGCCACAATCTTACTTCGGGTCATGATCTAATGTACCACTAATGTACTGCTTGTGATTGCAAGATGTTGTGGCTCATCATTGAACTCAACAGTCCTACACTGTGTATATGCAATCAGGAAAAAAAAACTACTATAGTTCTGTAGTCCTACAGGGAGCTCAGAAAGCTACTATAGCTATTTGGTTGGCTTTAACTTTATTTAATGATAAAGGTCTGTTTATGTTATATAATGCAATAATTGTTCCGCACCTGATCTACTGTATTGATGTTTGGGGAAAATCATGCAAAACCAACACAAACCCAATTTTTGTTTTACAGAAAAGAGCCATAAGAATTATCACCATAAAGCATTACTATCACCCATCAAATACATTGTTCCATCAGTTGAAGTTACTGAAATTCTATTATTTGGTTGATTATGGTATTTTATCAGATATGTATAGGGCTCATAAAAACACATTCCCTTCAAACATTCAGTTACACTTTGTTAAAAGAGAGAGTTTTTATAATCTCAAAGGGATAGAGATGTTTGTTAAACCCAAATTTAGAACCAGTTTAAAAAGGAGCGGAGTACTTCAGTCCAGGGTATAAGATTATGGAATAATCTGGAAGATGACATTAAAAATGCCAGATCAACGAGTACATTTAAGAGAAAGATAAAAGAATAATTTGCTGGAGAAATATGTAAATGTATGAATTGTTGTTCAAGGAGTTAAACC